GGTGGTCTGGAACCAAACCCGCAACATCTCCGAGGTATGCCTGTACTCAATATTTTAGGGGAAAAAATATTCAAAAGCTAGAGCCAGAATAGCATCCCTGCAATCATTAGAAGAGCAATTTAGATCAACAAGGGGACAGAAGAAAAGATAACATATATACAAGCTTATAAGCAGACTGATAACCTAATCTGTGTTTTTCCTAGCCATATCAGTTCATTTCATCTGTTGGTTTGCCAACTGAGGACCGACAGCCTTGCTCTGCAAATTCATACCTACAGCAGAATTTTTTGCATGTGTATAAGCAACACAAATTTATTCAGAAGTGAGCCTAAGATTGTAGAAGGACAATGAATATTAGGTTTTCATGTCCTTTGCTCCTTTTACATTCTTCTGATTCTGAGAACAATTAAATCCTATCAGCAAGAAATATTCACTTCAAACTACCTGTACAGGGAAGCTGTTAAGTAGTATTAGTTTCCTTTATGAAGGTATCTTTGGGAATGAATTTCAAGCTTGAAATTTCAACCCAACAGTATGCCTAAATAAATCAGATATGTAATCACTGAATTAAAGTTTTAAAGAAACAGATTTTATAAATAAAGCAAATCATAGGTTGAAAATATTTGGTGAAAGTTATATCAAGTTAAGAAGCCAAAATATTTTCTAACATACAAGCCATGAAGATGGCTAAAAATGCTATCACTCAATACCGGTTTTCTCCCTCTACTATCAATTCAAGAATCAGGTCAATTCAGGGAACAAGAAAATTAAGGAATTTCCTTAGTCAGTCAAGACCCGCACCGAGTGAGACAGATGGATTTGTCATTATAAATACCTTGCTGAAAAACCTCATTAAAAAACAAAAAACAATATGATTTTGTTCCCTGAACCCACCTGACTTTTACATATCTCATAAAACAGCTAGGGGTTCTAATCTTGTTTGAAAGTTGATTTGGAAGATGTCACATGTCTTAAGATGACCTCCCAAATGATGAAAACCATACTATACAGAAAATGTTTTGCCATATTTGTAATGTCTGCCTTCATTTTGGTGTAGTATAGTATAGGGGACAAACCAATCTCTGGCTCAAAATTCCTGTCCCTATTTGTAGAACATATTTTAATCAGCATGTTGCTGTGTCAATTTTTCTTTCCCGTTTCTTGTATGTTAATTTCAGTTCCAAATCAAGTTTTGTATGCCCAGAAAGCAGCACAACTGCAGTGACTCCAGTCAATGGTAATCAAGTAAAGCCACAAAATGCAGGATTACCCTTTTGCTTTTCAATGATCCTTCTCTGCAGCAGTCACCTTGCTGACAGAGAAGCACTCTAGATGATATAGGAGGATGTGGAGGGTCAAGATGAAAGCAGGCAAGGGTTAGACTGGCCCTGCACCTCCAGGCTGCAGACAGGTGTTACACATGGTGCTAGACAACTCTCTAGAACAGCCATTTCATTGCTCTGCAAAGCTAGCTATTTCTAGCAGAGCAACTTTTCTTTATTTTAAGACCACAAACTGCTTAAATGTCTATATGCTTACTATCTGCTGGGAACAGGGCAATTCAACCCTAAAACAACTAAACTCAAGAGAAATCATCTAAAACAGTGGTTCCCAATCTGTGGTACACAGACAACCTATCAATGGTACGTGGTAACAGACTTTTATAATTACTTGATATGACAAATTTGCTGATGGTACTTAAGGTTGAACTAAAAAATTTGCTGATAGTACTTAATGTTGTATCATTTTCAATTGGTGGTGCACAATCTGTCAGTTTGGGAGCTGCTGACCTAAAATATTTACCACCATTCCAGGTTTACTGCATCAGAAACACACTACTACAATCAATGCATCCCTGTAATGCACAGCAAGTTAATTTAGTTTGCTAGCCAGCAACACTTTTAAAGTTTTCACCACAGGATTTTAAAAATTGGAGTTATCCTTTTAGGCAGGCTCTTCAAAAGGAGGTCACCAGCACAGAGCATACCGATATGTTTGAGCGCCAGAGGTAGTGACCTAAAAGACTTGCACTTCCTGGACTTGACATGGATGTGCTATGAACGCCTTGCTTGTCATCTGTATTTTGATTGTCAAAATCTATTAACTTGTTCATTTCAACATTTTAATATAGTATTATTGTGCATCTATAGCACATACCTTTCTGTAAGAGTCTTCTATCGTTGGATCGTATTTTTCAACAAATATTCCTTGAACAAACTGTACGGTCTGTAACAAAAAGAGTGTTTCCATAAACAAACTTTTCTTGGGCACGTATATGAAACATCTTAAACACAAAGCATCTTTCCAGGTCTACATAAAAACCACCAACAGTATATTTGTTTTTATTGTAGGCACATGAATATTTGGGTAATATTTCTGAACTGCTATAAAAAAGTTGTACAAAAGAATTCCCTCCCCATGATTATTAAAGAAAATAAAAGTCTATAGGCATGGTTATCTCAGACACATTTATATTTTATGTATGTCCCAAGATAGTTTGGATAATTGTTTAAAAGCAAAATTTGTGTTCATAGTATTGCAAGCACTGAAGTCACTAAGAAATCATTATTTAAGTACACTGGACAAAATCTTAATAAAAAAAAATCAGAAACAAAATTTAATAAATAAGTGTTATATATTTTGTTATGCACCCTTTAACCCAAAATTCAGATTACTGACTTGTCAATAGCTGATTTTTCTGAATACAAATCTAAAACATGCAGCCTGGACTAACTGCCAGTCTTTTTTAGACTTCTGAACTATTTAAGCCAAGCCCTCTTCCTCTTTTTGCAACAGGATGTTCTGCTGCAAAGACACAACGTATCAGGGCAAAATTCAAGCAGCTTACGAAAGACCATTCAAAACGGATCCATGCTGCATAATCTAATCTTTCTGCATGCCTGCTGAGCCTCTATGGGTCTAACACAGTGGTTCTCAACCTCATTAGATTCAAGGCACCCCTCAGAAAATGCCAGGTCTGAAACTTTCACTCATTTTTTTGACTATGGAAAATAGGGACAGGCCATACAACTTCTGAGTGGTTATGGGCTGCAACATATGGTCCCATTCCTCCAACGCACAGTGGGCGAATCCTGCTGCACTGCACCAATACCCCCCAGGCACCACTAGGGCCCCCAGTTTCAGGTTCTTTTAGCCCCCCCACCTGGTATGAACTGCCCTGCCCCTAGGGGTGGAGGCAGGAAGCAGAAGTAGGAAGGAGGGGGGGAAGGGATCTTGGAGATTTTGGCAGTAGCAAGAAAGCAATGTGGGGAGCACCATGCAGACCAGGAACCTGGGGGGCCACAAGTTAACTCTCCAGGGCCACACATGGCCCACAGTCCGGGTCAGCATGTCTTTGGCCCTATGGATTCCTTTTTGAAATCGTTGGGTTTATCCTGTGAATTGTGTAGGTGTCTGCACACCTAACAGTGCTAATGTTGTGTGGCACTCTGAGTGAGAATCATGGATCTAGTATCAGCGTACAGGAACCATGAATGACTGGTGCCTCCTGAGACTGGGGCGCACCATTTGTAGGCAGCAGTGGGGAGCAGGGACCACCTGCAGACGCTGGCAGCGGCAAGGAGGGACGGGTGGCGGGAGGTGACCACCTGCAGACACCAGTGGCAGTTAATCTCGGGGGGGCATGTCCCCCCCCATGTATCCCCCCTACAACTAGCTTATGGCAGGAACTACAGAACTCCTGCTCTGTTAAGCCAACTAAAATAGCCTTAGCAGAAAGTTTGCCTAATAATATCTTTTTCTTATAAAAACAGGTTTTGTTCGGGTCCTGCAGGCTTTTGACCTAAGCTGAAGTGAGTACTGAAAACCTGGAAATTCTGAAACCCAGAATACTTTCCCAGCATGCACAGGAACTCTGAATTATAGGTCAGGGTTACCAAGGTTTTCCATGATGCAAGATCTATTTTACAATATCTTGTTATTAACGTGTATCTGTAGTTGGAAGACATGTTGGATGTGCCCAAAATCTTATCTTCATATCTCTGCTGACTATAAAGTTGCATCTAAATAAGACAGATTCAGTGCAACCTCATTTTTAAAAAAAAACCACATTGCAAACCAAGTGACTTTATTATAGCAAACACCATCTTTCAACAATCTTTTTTTCTGTTCCCATTAGGGTTTGTTATAAATGAGGTTGTAATTGTATTACACAGCAAATCTTGCCTCACATATTCTCTAAACCATTGCAGGTACAACACTACTCCAAACTCTTCCAGAGCCTGGACAGTATTTTATCAGACTTCCCTGGACACCTTCCCTCTCATTCACAGTCATGTAACATTTGTTACAACTGTACAGGTTGCTTGCATAGGAAGTTAAATGCATTTACACAAGCCCTTTAAATACAAGTTAAATGCAGGAGACAACAAAATGGTACAAACCGCTGTCCACAAACCATTAGCAAGTGTTATACAGGTTGATATTCTAGAGTCACCCTAGGTTTGTCCAATGGGAAATAAGCTTTCTAGGAGGCTGACAAATTTAGGAACAAATAAAACATTGCCTAGTGTCAGTTTTGAGTTAGTGTTCTTGCATTAAGCTTAGGGCCCCTACACATAAATGTAGGCCTATCACACTAGGCATTGCTCAAGTAAGATCATCCTTTGCTCAAGTGAATTTAGTCTGTAATCTAAACCAGCATTTCTCAACCCATGGGTCGCAAGTATATATGGTTGCAAAAACAACTTTACAATGGATTCTCGTTTAAAAGAGAAAAACATGGGAAACTGTGGCTGCTATAGTTCCAGCCTGCAAGTGGCTGCTTGGGCTCCCTTCCCATATCCCCTACACTGCCCCCCCCACCCCACCTCCCTCCAGCCCCAGACATCCACCTTCTGCCCCACACATGGGGGTTATGGGGCAGGACTGGCCAATGTTTACAAATGAGTGGTGGTACAAAAAAAGTTTGAGAACCACTGATCTAAACGATATGCAATGTGTTGAGTTTATCACAGGAAACAAAGATAAGACATAATGCAGGACTGAGTTGCAAGGGAATAGCTTATCAAGGGAGAGATCGGCAAGTCACTGGCATGACGGTAATCAAAACTAATGATCTAAATCACCAGTTTTAAGTTTGATTTAAAACATGCAAATCAGCCATCGTGTCACCACTTACCCCTCAAAATTATGTAAAACTGCCAAAAACAGCCTTCTTTCACCCCGTCAGTCCTCAGTTTCTCCCCAACTTTCCTCTCCACTCAGAAGTTAATTTCATGTTTTTATATAGGATTTCCTGAATAAGTGTGTCTCCGTCTACATTCATGCTACAACTTTCCCAATCTGCTCTTAATGCACGTTGCTGCTGCACTTTCTAGGCTTGAGATCCAAGGGGACTTTGGACCTAAATTCGGTGGCACACTGGCACAAGAGACTGAAAATTCTATTAGATATGAAAATAATTAAATAGAATCAGTAAGTAGCCACCCACCCCAACACATTTTCTAGAACTATACTATTAATGTCATTAACATACTGCAAATTTCTACTGGTAATGTGCAATTTTATTATAGAAGTTTCTCTAAGCTCTGGCAGCTTGGCACAGCTGAAACATCATTGAATCAAGGATGAATGTGCTTATCTAGAAGTTTCAAATAAAGTGATACAATAGATCAGCTTGGAAAGAGACCAATTAAAATTTATACTAAAAATGTTACTCTTCTTTACATTTCAGCCAACAATCCTGAAATGAACAGGTTAATTCAATCTTCTTACAACTGTTGTCCAAGTTGCCTATAACCTCAGGACGAGGCTACTCTCAACACAGACTTCCTAATTTAGCTTGACAGCCATGAACAAGGTTTATTTAAGTATAAAAATTGTAGCACCATTCTGTGACAGCCGAAGATGCTGTCCTGTCAACAACAGCTTCTGCAGTAAGATCCTCACCACCCAGACTATGATATACTCAGTAACTAAGGTTCTCCAAGATATGTCTATCCCACAGCAGCTGCACTACCTATTCTGCACGAGACTGCACTATTTTTAACTGCAGCATCCACTGGGGTTACACATCTACTTCGGTTGTGTCCACACATGCGCTTTAATGTGCATTAACCTATTTTAATATGCATTAAAGCATGACAACAAAAACATGCTCTTTAGCTAATGCACATTAAAATAGGCTAACGTACCTTCTTCTAGTACCCCCCCAATAGAGGTACTAGATTTAATGAGTATTATCTAAAGTGTATTAATGAACGTGCAGACGTGCCGTTTGTTACTACTTGTGATTCTAAGTGATCACAACCCTCCTTGTTTCTTTCCAATTCAAAAAAGATCCAAACTCGCCAAAGACTCCAAAAATATTAATGTAAAGATTCATATCAACTACACTGCAAAGCAAATAAAAGTTTACTTTGAAGTATATTGATTTTAAACACACAGTAGTCTGTGAAGATGAGAAAAACAGGTTTCATCAGCAGTGACTATAGGACACACTCCTAAACCTAGCTTCACACCTATTCCTAAGTCCAAAGTGTAGAGGTCAACATATCAGTGAGTTATTCCACACTGTTGAAGATATCCAGTATTAGCCCATTCCTGAAGCAGGCAAAATACTGTAGCTCATTCTACATTATTCCAAGGCCAGTGAGGAGAGAAATACTGGATAACAAGTGCGATCCATTTGGAGATTTTCCACACGCATGCACCGCCGTGCCCCCCCAGTGCGAGGGTCTCAATCTAGCTTTCATCTTTTGAAGACTGCAGTTTTGGGTAGATTGATTCAATCTAATCACAGCTTAAGACCACCACCTGGGATTGAGACTTTTTAAGTGACACTTCACTACCAAATGGTCCCTACAGAATGTCACATAGAAAAATTCAAGCGTCAGTGGTTGAAGCTTGGTCACTTCTGACCAAAGTGGAAACCATAAATAAAAATAAAAATCAGCCATTCCAAAATCAACTTGAGGACTGCTGGAGGTCCCTAGCAAGAGTAGGTAGGATAAACATTTGTTTGAGGGTTAAGCAAGGATATTCTACTGTTAAGCAAGAAAAGATCAAACTTGACTGCACGGGCAGAATTCAAGCTGAGCTGCCAGGCAGACCTTAAAGCCAATTGAAAAGGCAGTCTATTCCAAGCAATAGGAAGGATCTTCAGTACATACCATGCTGGTTTGCACATATTAAAGAACGTCTTCCATTTAGTTGGATAATTCTTGTTTGCTTTTCTTTTACCCTGCAAGAGGAATTTTTGGACCTGGAGGAAGCAGTCCCTGTATGCTCCCTCAATCGTCACTAACCACATCACATCCAGCAGCAGTGTGTGCAGACTCCCTGCTGTAACTCAGAATGCTTTGCAGGAAACACTGAGTTACAACAAGCTCCTGGACCAAACAGAAGTTCACTATTGGTTCCAGGGGGGAGGGGAATCTAGCTGCTGGCTGCCAGCCTGTAGCTGGTTTTCCCTAGCAACAGCCCCTCCACCCTGCCAGCCAGAGCTGTTTTCAGAATTGGAGGGAGAAAAAGGGAACTGAGGGAGCTTGTTCTAGGGGTTCCCCACCAGTGCTGGAGAGTGGGCTGGGAGAACTGGAGACCTTACACCTCAGAGAGGGAAAGGGGGAGAGCTCCAGTTCACCCACCCCACCCTCCAGTGAGGGCCAAAGAAGCCCCAAACTGAACTGCCTCAGCTCCCTTTCTCCCCTCCCATTCTGCAAACAGCTCCAAGGCTGGCAGACAGCGCAGACACAAATTACAGAAGATGTTGTGTTTTGAAACGTTTTCATCTGAACCCTTATGCAATGAGGGTTCAGATTTTCACCCAGTCAGCCACTTTTAAGTGGTCTCCAACCACACACTTCCGTTTGGCCACAACTATAAACTGCTTTCTGTGGCCAGATTGGGTGAAAATTGTCACGCTTTGTATGTACGTCAATAGTGCTGCAAGGTCAGAATCAGATGAATTCAACTCAGGAAGTTGAATATATGTTTCAGGTTGATCAGCCAAAACTGTCTTGCCAGTTGAGAGTTATGAGGATTTGTGGGTTTGTCTCCTTTATATTTTATATCCTTCTGGACATCAGGAGGCAAAGACAAAATTTTCAAAATATGTTCCAGATAGGATGTGAGCTGAGGATCAAGAATTCTGCCACATGGTGCTGGTGCTGACACTGATAATAAACAAGTCTATCAGAGGGCTCCTTCACAGGAAAACTGCTTGGGATACACCTCTGCAGTAACTGCTTGCAAGTTAGAAAAACTGGAAGTTATCTGCTCAGAAAATGTGAACTTATTCACCACTCTTGAGAGCCATCCAGGCTGTTCCATGTTCAGAGTTTGATAGCTTCCAAAACAGAAGATTGATAGCTTCCAAAATAGAAGATGGATGCATTCCTTTCTGTCAGCTTACATAGTGCATTGTGTGATAATGCCCATCAGGATCCACACTTTCGAGTTTTGAACAACAGGCAATTAAGTCATACATGCTAGTCTAAGTGTGGATGCCCATAACATCTGAGGACAAGGTACCTGGTATCTGTAGGTTTGCCCAAGTTGGCTCCCCAATCTGGCCCCGATGCATCCATGATTAAAAAAAATTCATGGCTGAGTAAGCAATGGTACACCTCCAAACACATCCTGCAGTCTGGAAGTGGAATTATCACCTTGTTCATTTGGAATTTTACTGGAGAATAGGACAACCAAAACAAAAGATGAAGAAGTCAAACAAAAGTTGATAAGCATTGTGTTCATACACACAAATATATGGCTTAGTAACCTCAGAAATGCACACACCATCAGAGTATGTTTGGCTTCTAATCAACGAATAGCAACTGAAAGAAGAAAAAAAAAAGCACAACAGACCTAGGTTTGAAGAGGTACACACTATGACCTGGACTCTCAAGGCTTTCAGGAGCTCCTTGTCATAACAGCATAAAACATAGCTGAATCAACAGTGAGAGAACAATCTAGGCTCCCATGATCTTCTGCTGGGATCTGCATTTGATAAGCCCTCCACATAATCGCTGACATGAATAACTTCCCTTCTGAGATTTCCACTACTGCTAGGCACTTTAAAGATTCCTGATGCAATCCAAAGCTCAGGAATCAGTATTTTCTACTGGTACTAGCTGGTTCTATGATAAGCTTCTGGTATTTCCTGTGGGTCATATTGTTTACTAGATGGAAATTTGTATCCTGTAAAGTGGCATAACTTGCTTTTTGTCTTAAAAGATGAGACAATAGAAGCATTACCTAAATGAGGCCAAGTCCTTCAATTATAAAAGTAGTGAGAGAGAAGAGTTGGCAACTCTTAATATTTCCTTAGGTGCTACTACTATGGGTCCTAGACAAAGCATCAAGGCCACACCTGTTCACAACAGGCTCTTATGCAAAGGATCCCTGAAGAGGAATGGGAAGAGGGTAAATCAAGATTTAGAAGTGTAGTAGATAGCTTTGAGAAATGTCCAATGCCTGTTTGTTGTATACTAGCAGCCCACATCAAAAGGTAGGGAAAAACAGTTCCTAGAGGTGGGGGCAGGTTTCCAGCGACTGAACACTACAGTAAAACTCCCTGCATCTAAGGATGGAGAGCATTCCTGAGTCATTTGCCTTCCTTCAAGCTATTCTGACAGTTTACTCTAGCAGTGGGATGAGATCCTCTGCTGTGCTTGGAACTTCTATGGTTCCCTATAAAAGGAAATTATTATGTACATTTTAAAGAACTAAAATGCAGTCCACGAGAGCACGAGGCATTATTCCTGTTCTTTGGCTGAAGAGCACTACCCAAAGGACAAAGTACTGCAGAATCCATGCATCCTCTATGGCAGTGTTTTTCAACTCGTGGGTCACAAGAATACATGAAAGGGTCACAAACAAACTTTAAAAATGGATCAACACACTTTAAAAATTAGTTCTCTTTTAAAGGAGAAAAAAACCCATGCAAAACCATGGGTTTTCCCTTGCAGGTTGGCAGAGTTCCAGCCTACAAGGCTGCTTGGGGCCCCCCATTCCCCACACACTGGGGGGCTTGGGCTTAGGGGTAGCAGGCAGTGGGTCAAGAGTGAGAGGCACCAGCAGGGGCAGGGGGCTGTTTTCTATTTAAACTATTTACTGGGTTGGGACAGGCCACTGATGTTTACAAGTGGTCCTGGTACGAAATAAAGTTGAGAACCACTGTTCTATAGCATTTCAGATGCCTAGGGCCAGAAGATCCAACTTACTGGGCAGCCAAATGATTCTGGAGCCCTACCAGATAGGGACTAGGCCACCTATTAATTATGTTCTTGTAACCATCTGGCCTACCTTGATGCATTTCCTTCAACTGTTTCTTATTCTCCTGTGAAATTTCAGATGGGTAGCTCTCTCCCAACTAAAACCTGTTTGCTATATCTAGTTTTTCTTCATAAAATAGAGGGGGTTGGTAGACTTTTTTGGATACAGAGTATACTAAAGGACAGGGCTAGGATTCAGAGAGACCTAGACAAATTGGAGGATTGGACCAAAAAGAAATCTCATGAGGTTCAACAGGGACAAGTGGTCATTATATATCACCACTATGCTGGTGAACAGAAACAAGGAAATATTAGGGTATGAACAAAAGATACCATTGTCTAACTAGCTGGCAGGTTTATCCAGGCACGGCACTGACTGGACTCAGAATCTAAGTCCTGGTTCTATTTATATTTACAGCTCTCTGACCCTTTGAGCTAAGCAAATCATTTCACCTTAGTAGCCAAAATTTCTCATCTGTGAAAGGATAATGATACTTGGCTTCAATTGCAAAACAGATTTACAACATAAGAGAACTGTACAAGGGCTAGGTATTATTAGCAAAAAACAGATGGATGAAGTCAAACATATCTCAGATTCCAATTTTAAGCTTCAAGCTGAGACCATACAGAAGACTGAGTTGTTGTTAACATTTTAAACTTAAGCACTCTTTTTAATACCAAGGGTCTGATTTCCAGAAATTGAATAAGCATACTTTCTTGCACAAAAGTAGTTACAGCTGATGAATGTCTGTGCACAAACCACCGGAGGCAGAGATGAACATTGAGTTAAGTGACTATCTAGCAATATATACTCACAAGTCACAGTATGTTTATGAACGTACATCTACCTGCTTACTAAAAAGAACTTATAAGCAGCATGCCCTCTAAAAGACAAAAATTACTTATAGCAGTTAAAGAAATACTACTTACCAGAGCAGACTTTCCAACACCTCCTGAACCAAGAACCACTAGCTTGTATTCACGCATGATGGAAGTGTTGGCTTACCTCCTTGATACCTAAAATACACAATAAATTACTTATCAATCCTGTACTACAGAAACATTAATTTACATCTTTATTTTACAGTGTCTTTATGTTAGCAGTTAATTCCTATCCAATTGTCAAACAACAAAAAGCTCTTTTTAACATTAATTTTATATCCACTAACTGCAGAATAGATACCACTCACTACGTGAGTAATAACCACTATTATTCTGTAATGTTACTTTCAGGGTTAGTATCTATAATGCAGTTTATCACTTATCCACATAGTAAAAAAAGAACCTTTCAGAATATTTTCTTCATCATCAGAACAGGTAAGCTGGTATCTTTTAAAAGAACTGTTTCTCACTCAGTGCTGAAGTTTTCAGTGAATATTTGTGAATGAGTCCTGTGCTAAGCTTCATTAAACAACTTCTAGTCTTCCAGCTCCCTTAAGACTTGTGCCCACTTATCTTCAGCCCCCAGGCCGCCCTCCACAAAATTAGACACAACCTCACAGCCCATTTCCCTCCCTCATCTTTGCCAGTACTATGTAAAAGCAGCTCTGCTACTTGTCATCCTAAAATCAATCCACAACTAAGCAGTTTGGCACCAGGAACATTTAGCTGGGTGTGTGGGGAGAAGAAGCAAGGAAGTAATCAGCAAGCTGCTCCCTGCCAATGGACAGTCCACTGAGCCAGGGTATCAAATCTTTCGTTTAAGCGCATTTTGTCCACTGCTTTATAGATTTCATAGACATTAGGGCTAAAAGGGACCTCACAAGATCATCAGATCCAGCCCCCTACCCAAGGGGCAGGAAGTGAGCTGGGGGCCAGATCACCCCAGGAAAATAAGCATCCACGTGTTTCTTAAAAGGTATCGAGTAGGTGCTTGCACCACTTCTGGGGGGGGGAATCTATTCCAGAGTCCAGAGACTCAGACATTTTTCCACATGTCCAGTCAAAACCATCTTCCAGCAATGGTCTTCCTGTTCATTCCATCTGTGGTTCTCTTGTGAACCCTTCCCAACTTTTCTACAACTTGGTTAAAGTGCTGACACCTCAACTAGATGCAGTATTTCATTGCTGGTGTCACCAGTGTTGTAGGAGAAGATAAAGTCTCTACTCCTACCCACTTTTCCCACTATATGCATCCAAGGATCAAACAGAGTTCAGAGTGGACAAATCAAATGACCCTTAAATTCTTTTAAGAGGTGCTGCTTTTCAGATACTATCTCTTGCTTTCTCTTTCATGATCATGGCTTTTAGTCAAGCAATGGACCCCTCTTAAAGAATGTTCTTAAAAGAGTTACCTCGTGTAAGATGCTGAGCCTTCTGCACTACAAAGTGACCTATAATTTTAGAAATTAATTTTTTTTATTACTGGCTATACAAGATCTTTATTATGGATGCAAGTCCCCCATGATAATACAAGGGTTCTGATTTAATTAAAGGGTCTCTTGATTCGATTCGGCTACTGAATCGGGCCAAATCTCTACTGAATCGAATCAGTGACTGAAGTTTCACACAGCCGTACTGCATAGATTCATAGATTGTAAGGACGGAAGGGACTCTGGAAGTTCATTGGGTCCAGCCCCCTGCACCAAGCAGGAAACACAACTGGGGGTCAAGTGACCCCACCAAGGTGACTGTCTAGTCTCCTCTTGAAGATTTCCAGGGTAGGTGATTGTAACAGTTAAATCAGGGGCGGCCAATTATTTTGGGTGGAGGGCCACTTACTGAGTTTTGGCAAGCCATGAAGGGCCGCATGACAGGCAGCCAGGGGCAGATAACTATTAATTTTCTAAATTTTTTAGGGGCCCCGCGGGCTGGATAGAACGGCCTGGCGGGCTGCATTTTTGCCCATCCCTGAGTTAAATAGTTTGCAAGCATCCTGAGGCCGGCCTTCCTTTTATCCTGCCTACTGTCATGTCAGCCCACTGACAAAAGTATGCTATTTTTCAGGGAACGGCTGCTAAGAAGCACTGGAATATCATAATACCACATCTGAAATAATCTAAATAAGCTCATCAAATAAAGGACCACTACCCTAATATTCTCTGCTGTACATGCATTAGAGGTATTTGTAGCACTGATGTCTCTTTGCTCTGCATTCTTTTTCCATCCTCCCCTAAAACTTCATACTAGAGTCAGCTACAAGACATTATCATCATTTCAGATGGTAAAACATTCACTTATCACATAGGTATGCATGTTTTTATCCAAAATTTCAAACTGAACCCTGGACGCACACAAGGCAAAAGAAATATAGTAACAGACAACACAGAGGAATAGCTTTTAGCTCCATGATACATTTACCTGAATTAATGCTCAAGATTTCCATACGTGAACTTTTACATTCAGAGAGTCTAATGCAAAAGAACATCCCTAACGAACACACTGTAATTACTCAAATACAAGTCGACCCCCCACAGTCAGCATAGGGAAAAAAGCCCCTCAAACTTACATTCATATACAAAGAAACCTCAATAAATACAGTCCATCTTTGAATTAAAAGCACCATGTGTTCAGTAATGGAAACCAACTATGAAGCTGATTAAATGCAGCCAACACTAAGCATGACTATAAAATACATGGCCCATATTGCAGAAACATGCCAACTGGCAACCCATCAGATTAAGAAACATGGATATCTTAGTGTTCACTGAGCACAGTCCCCCTCAGCACTGACTCTTTTGAAGTCATGGTGAGATACTAATTTTTGACTTCCTCTTCACTCCCACAGCTGAGCTGCACCTTTCCTTCCCATTTCCAATGATTTCCATTTCTTCACCAGCCTTAAATGTCTAGCGAACATCACCAAATGGGGCCCCAAATAGTTCACCTAGAATCCCCACTTTCTCAGCCTGTCGCATAGAATTGGTGTGGTCCACCCTCCATGAGGTGGAACTGGACTAGGTTGCCTTGCACCTCATTTGCAGATCCCAAGACTTGTGACAAGAACACCCAGTTCGTCATGAGTGACGGCTAATTATCACATGGATCCTTTGTGTGCGTGGGGGCAGGGTGGTATCTGGAGTACACACATACTGAACAGCACACTGAGCTATGCAGTCACCATGGCTTGAAATGTTGTTGACTCTGCTGGGACCCAGCACAATTAACTATATGGTATACCGTAAGCCTTTTGGCTTTAGACTAATATTATGCATAGTTTGTGTTATATACAAGTAGGTGCCAAAATACTCCCTGAAACTGTGTTTATGGAATACCCATGCTAAAACTTGCAGCAGTTTTCAGAAAGTTAAAATGCATCGATCCTGGATCAACTAAATCTATGGGTACCACATGCAAATGACTGCAACTGTTTATTTCAAGGCCTTTCCTCTCCCCACCCCCACATTTGCTCCTCATTTCTAAGCACCAAAAGAGCAGGGTCTGACAGTGAGGAGGAGAAGAAGCTACAGATGGAAGCAGGTGGCAAAGGGGCTACGTGACCCCCAGGTTTATTTTTCCCTGCTGTAGTAGTGGAATGGGGGGCAAAATTAAGACAAACCTCTAAATAATTAAATTATCTATATAGAAAGTTTAGACATCTTCCAGGGATCAAATTTAATCTTATAAATCAGATGCAGCTTGTATTTGAGTAAATATGATACTTCATTTCCAGTCTGTCTTACATTAGAAATGATCAATTAAACACTAAATTATACTTGCAGTGCATTATCCCCACTTTTTAAAACTGTTTGCAACAATTTTATACAACAAATTAAGAAGAAAACAACTTTTCCTTAGGGTAATTAACGAGTTTTACAGTGCTAAAGTTTGTGTGATAACTACTTTTAGAGGTGCACTGATACATTGGTCCCCTATCAGATCGGCACTAATATAGGGAAATTTGACAGTATCAGCAATTGGCTTTTTCGGGTTGATGTGGCCGATAAGTGCCCCATGCATGTGCCGATAAATGCACCAGCCTGCAGAGGCACCCCGCCCTGCATGCAGATCCAGGGGCACATGCCCCCCATATCCTCCCGGGGCGCATGCAGTTGCAGGAGCCATTCCCCTCCACCCCCCAAATAAGCTGCTCACGGCTCCGTCCTGCACTCCACCCCAGCTGTGTCCAGCCCCAGCTCCTCCCCCACCTCAGGGGCATCAATCTGCAAACTACACGCCCCCCCCTCCCACACACACACCCCTTCCCTCCCCTCACAACAGACTTACTGGTCTCCAAGCCACCGGGCTGCTTACTGGAATTGGATCAGTATTGACCGATATGGCTCGTTAAAAATCAGCCATCTGTATCTGCCCAAAAAATCTCTATTGGTGCACCCCTAACTACTTTATAAGATAGCAGTAACAAGAGATGCAGACAGCAATGTTTAAGTGAATACAACATGTATTCTCTTATGAAAGCCCACGTTTTGTCATCTTTTCAAGTCAAATGCTATGATAAAATACTATTTCTGTAGGAATTACTATACTAGCCCAGACCAAAAACTTCAGCAACAAAATTCTTTCGGGGCTAGTACTTCAGAGTGGAATGCTCCAGAACCATAAAGCTCCTCAAGAAGGAAGGTGAGGCCACTGAAATTAGTATTAAAAAAATCCCAGTTTTTATCTGAAAACTGACTGAATGCTTAGTCATTAAATTAGTTGGCATAAAAGCACTTTAAGAGCTGCAATAAATAAGTGAAATGTGTATCAAGCATTACCTGCGTGTGCATATACACCTCATATTTCATTAAAATGCGAACAACAGGCAATCATGCTATCTATGTAGGTGGCCAACAGCCTGGACACTCCCAACAGCATTTTTAGCTGCAGACAGAAACCAAAACAAGCTGCTAGTTAATTCTGTTCTTGTGCAACACACTGCCATGTGCGAGATCAGTTACGCATCTAAAAAAAAATTCTAACACCTTTACCAAGCAACAGTTGGGAGCGTAGGGAGGTGAAAACAGGCAAACAGAACTGACTAGATGCTCAATAAAAACCAATATAGAAGGTATTCCTCCAGGCTGGTAAAGTTGTAATAAGCATCATTAGTAATTCTAGTGCATCTTACATGGAAGT